TTTATACATTCCCTTTTATATCATGGTAAGTAAATATATAACAAAACACTTAATACACCAATATTTTTACAGATATTACACTCATCCATGCTGTGTGACCATCACCAATATTAGTTTCCAAATTTTCCCATCATCCCCAGCAGATGCTCAAGACCCCTTAAGCAATGGGCCCCTCCTCCCCTGTCCTTCCACCCTAAACCAAACACCAAATTCATTGCCATAAAGTTGATTCTAACCCACAGCGACCCCACCGGATGGATCAAATCTACTCCCTAGGTCATTAGGAATGCAGACTGCGGCCTCTTACTCCAATCTAATGACTGCTGGGTTTAAATCACTGACTTTTTCACTTAGCAGATAAGCTAAGTGGACCACCCCCACTCTAGCAACCACTAATAAACTTTGGTCTTTCTACATTCGCCTATTCTAGACATTTTAAATAAGTGGGATCCTGCAATATTTGTCCTTTTTTCACTGACTCATCTCATGGAGCATAATGTTTCCAAGTATCGCTCATGCTGTGGCATATATAGGATGTGGATTATTTTATGGTCAAGCGGTGTTCCATTGTACATACTACATTTTGCTTATTCAGTCATCTGCTGATGTACATTTAGGTTGTACCCACTTTTAGCTACATGTGTGGCGAGCCACAATGAATATTGTACACGTAACTGTTTTCCTGCTTCAATTCTTATAAGTCTAAACCTAAGAATAGAATTTCCAGGTCTGTACTCTTTTGATTAAGTCTTCAAAGTTCCGTCTGCACTTACACTAACAACACCTCTCAGTTCAGAGCTAACGTGGCTGGTGGGTGACAAGCGCCCTGGGCAGGACAGATCGGGAAGAAGAGAGTCAAGTGGTTCTCTCAGCTAGAGCGAAGTGACTCGAATGTATATCAAAAGAGGAAGGAGGAAAAAGCCTTTGTTTAGTAGTAAAAACTCCCCTCCATTTGCAAGATCTTTTTCTGCAAATATCCTCTGCCTGGAAGAGCAGATAGACCAAAAAGGCAAATTATCGAGAAAATAAATTATTTCATTTCCTTTATATCCATAAACTGAAAACAAACCAAAGCTCATTGCTGTCAAGTCAGAACCAACTCAGAGCTGACCTTCCAGGGTTGTTTTTTTTTTAGTCTATAAACTGCACAGAAGAGACTTGCAGGTGGCTTTGAACTCTCAGAGCTGCGGCCTTTGGGCGAGCAGGGACTATGCCCAAGGAGCTCCCTGTAACACCTAGAACAGAATAACAATAACCACAGAGAACCTGCCCTCCCTTGACAAAAAAGCATAGTCGGTGTGCTTTTTTAAATCAATTAAAAAAAATGCTTTGCCAGGAAGAAGTAAGACCATCAGAATAAAAAAATGACATGACCAGAACATATTAGCTTAGGTAAGAGAGCGCCTGGGAACCCTGCAGATTCTCCACAGAGTGTCCCAGAAAATAAGAGCTGGAGGGTCCGCAGTGGTGGGGCCCAGCCCTGTGCAGACAGACCCGGTCAGCTCACATAGCTAAGAACGTGAGGGAGAACGATGGTGGCCAGTGAGGCAGCTCAGACACATGTTGAGTCAGGTAGAACCGCCCTCCCGGCAATGCTCTGAATGACATTTCACACACAGAACACTAGCCCTTCCACTCAAGGTGCCTTGGGCCAACTCTTCATTTAGTTAATGGTTAACCGTTTGTGCCACCTAGATGGTTATAAAAGATAGTGAAGCCGTGAAGAACAGATGGAAATGGAAGGAACAAGGATGGCAGGCTGAAGAAACTATCCTCTGCTTCTTACTGGTATCAGAGAAAAGACCTGAGATTTTAAAAACAACAGGATAGCAATTTAAGCAAGGAGGGCGGGAAATAAAAATTTTCTCAATATAGATTTCTGAAGAAAAGAATCTAAAGCTCTTCAGCTAAAAATTTTGAGGTCAGTCCTGATTGTCTTTCAAAAGCAACCAAACCTACTACCATTAAATCAATCTCTGCTTCTAACAACTCCATAGGGCAAAGTAGACCTGCCCCACTGAGTTTCTGTAGCTGTAATTGTGGGCTCACGTGCGTCAGAGATGATGAGGACGGCACAGGACAGGACATGGTTCAGATCTGTCGTTCACCGGTTGCTGTGAGTCGTGCTCAGCTCAATGGTAGCTGGCAGCAACAATCTTCACAGAAGCGGCCCACCACATCTTTCCCCCACATGGCAGCTGGTGGGTTTCAATCACTGGCTCTGCAGTCAGCAATCAAACATTTAACCACTGTGCCACCAAGGCCTTCTATTTCCTTACACAGCACTTGGGATGGCAGGCAATGTGATGACATCTGGACAAATGCCACTCACCATACGTGGGAAGGCCTGACCTCAGCGGTGCACATATAATTTTGCTGTATTCTTTTGGGAACAAAAGAATGAGGACACTTCTGAATCCAGATTGTTTACTTTGCCCTCAGTCTACAGAAAGTCTGACACCTAGATGAAGAACAACAGCGGGCAGCAATCATGTAAATGTCATGCTGAACATCTTTTTTAAAGTGGCAAGCAGAGAAAACAAATTGAAGGTATTTGGGGTTATGATAAGCAAATCTATTTCTATTTGTTTCATTTCCTTCTTCTCTTTTGTTCTTCACCATGTCTGAGAAAGCACAGGGAAGGAAGGGCCATGTCTGAGTTGCCCTTATCACCCGGGGCTGAAGGGGGACAGTGATACAGCTCCGCAGAGCCTGGCTCCTTGAGCAGGGGACTCCCTAAATCTCACTACCTTCTGTGCTCTTACAGGACCACAGCTGTATAACTCGGCTGAGTATGACAGTAAAGTGTCTGTGAAGAGTAGAAATTACTGTTCCTCATTATTTTCCCAAGTCGTCTTTGTGGGTTCAGAATCAAATTATTGTTTTATGTCAATTCATTTCTTTTGAGATTCCCACAGAGGCAATAGGCACAGTTTTCATAATACACTTCAGCCCTCAACACTTTGTAACCTCCTCTGAGATGCTGGGGAATTAACTGGCTCGAGAGCATTTACGGAATTTATGTATTTTATATTTTCTTTTTTCCACCTGCCTGGAGAGGGCAGCTGCAGCCATCAGGGCTTATAAACCTATTCCCAGGGCTGAGTATTTAGTACCAACCTAACCCGACTGGTGTGCAGATGAGCTTGGGATGAATATAAAGCAACAGACATCCTGACATGTTTATAAGAACCAAGAGACATTTAAAAACAAGCAATACAATCAGATTAACCACAGAAGCATTTCAGAATGTACTAAGGCATCCTTGTTGGATTAACTGACCCAGCCTGCCATCAACTCCATCTCCACCCCTGTCCCCAAACCCAAGGCCTCCCAGGAATTCTTCGTGCTCACATGTGGGGAAGGTGTGCGAAGGATAGGCCGTCAGCATGATGGGAAAGAAAGAAGTCCCTAGTGAGCTCCAAAGATGGGAAAAAACCAAAAGCAAGGCTAAATAATTACACTGAACACCCTAACCCTACCGTGTTGAAAGACACATTTGGTGGGGAACATTCCAGAACCAGAATCTTGTACTTGAACCTGGACAAGCTGAGCCACCCCAGTAATGGTCTGCTTGTGTCCTGTTTCTGTATAACTGGGGCCACCGGGTCTGGCAGGGCTTGAAGAGGTTCTCAGATGGGAAGACATCTGCTTCTGCACCCCACAGAAGTCCCTCAGAACTAGATCTTGTTGAAGCAACAAGCCTTCACACCGCCAGTGTCCACTACATCCCTTCTGGCCAGCATGTGAGGTCATCAGCTCTTCCCACTTGGAGATCCTGGGGTGGCCGCGCTGTTCTCACTTCTTTCCAACACACTCAACAGAAAGGTAGAAGCAAGAGGGCTGTTTTCCCAGCTGGCAGTCTGGGGGTCCATCTGACTTCTTTATGAGCCCTTCTGCTCCGAGATCACCAGCAAGGCTTCTCCGAGGCAACCAAGCAGGAGGCTGTAAATGACAGCGAGAGGTCAACTCCCCACTTCTCAAGAGTCACAAGGCTGTGGACCAAGTGCCTGCACACACAGAGACAGGTTGAGGGATGCAACCCCAACCCCCAACCCCCAACCCCCTTTGCATCAGTGATCAGCACCAGCCCCGGGTGTCGCCGTGAAGGTCAGGCCAAGACTGTCTCCTGAGCAAAGCTCAGCTCTCCAGGGGAAGAGAGCAGGTGGAGAAGTGGACTCAGCCACTCATCCTCAGGGAAGAAGGCAGGATGTCCCACTCACCCTGGCCAGGGGGAGGTGACGGCTTGGATGGACCAGAATTCCCACCAAGCCCTTCTGGATGGATGGATACAAAAGAGTGAAGAATCTTACCATCTTAGCAGCCTTTCAAGGAAGAAGTTCCTAGAAATGTTTAATTTCATTTAGACTCACAGAACATTTAAAATGAAAATACAAAGGGGACAAAGCTATACCAGTTTCCCACCAATGTTGAAAGTTCACTGCTTTGAAAGGAAAAATGTGGGGGAAGAACCAGAGATGATGAGCAGAGGAAAGGTTGGCTATTTAAGCGTGCTACAAGTTAAAGTGCTGAAAGGTCTCACATTTCATACTCCTCAGGCGACAATCTGGTGTCTTGCTCTTTCTAGAAGGCCCTTTTGGGGATGCGGCTGGCCTTCAGTGAAGGATTATGGGCTGGGATTCTGACAGGGAAATGCTTTTTCAGAGGGGCCAGAAGCTCCTTCTGGTATAAACTTTCCTTCCTCCTCATCTACCCAACCAGGACCCCAACCCTCCCAGACACTCATACCCAACACACACGTCCAGGCTCTGGCACTTCATGCTTTTAACGTCCATTTAGGGAGATGACTGTATAAACACTATCCACCTAACAGTGAGAAATGTGAGTGGTGGAGACAAACAGCTAACCTGTGACCTTTACCTTTTTTAATATAAAAAGAATTGACTGTGCAGAGAACATAAAAACAGTGAACTAGAATCAGGAAGAACTGAGTTCACAGTCTGCCTGGGGCCCTTCTTAGCCATGTAATCTTATACATGCTACTCAGGCCTGGTTTCCTCATCTGCAGCCTGGGCGATGACAGCATCCAGCAGTCCCAGGTAAGATAAAGGTAAGATAAAGCCCCTGTGGTCGGCCTGAGGGGACAATCGGTAAAAGAGTGTTCCTTTCTAGTCCGCTGGCCTCCTGGAGCATTAAGAGCGTCCTCAAGTGATCCCCTTAGCTGGCTGGCTTCCCAGCTTCAGCTTGAGTACCTTCAGATAGGATCATGGCCTGTGGGGCAGAGCACGCCCTCCCACTGCTGGACTCAAGCAAGCTGATGGGCATCTTACCTGTGGAAGATACTGAGCTTGGCTCTGGGGACTGAGAGCATGGCTCCTCCCTCAGGCAGAAAGCCCTTCCTCATAGACCCACTATATTTCTAATAACTTCCTCTATTATTTTCGCTTTCTAGAGCGATCATCTACCGCTCATCATCAGTCTGTCAGCCTTAGTGAGCGGGAGGATCTCTGAACTACCATGCTTTCCTAGGTGGGGACTAACAACACCAGCTGAGGACAGAGATGTGGCTGATTGGGGAATGGGCTGTGAGGGGGTACCTTCCCTTCACCTAGGGGGAGCAGCCTGGGGAAATGAGATGGTGATAGGTAGAGGTATTCCTAACATCTTAAAATCCAAGTTAGAATGTTGTTGTTGTTGTGGGCCATAGCCGACCCTCCATGTTTTCAGAGGCAGTTAATTGCATGACAGGAAACTGTTCAGACTTCTCTCACAGAGCAGCTGGTGGTTTCGAATCATGTGCCTTTTGTATCACAGCAAAGCTTCTTACCACTAGGCCACCAGAGCTCTAATATTTGTATTATAAATCCCATAGAGCCACTGTCATCAAGTTAATTTCAACTCATAACGTACCTCCACTCGCTCCCCAATGCTGTAAACCTTGACAGGAGGAGAATGCCCCTTTCTCTCCCAGAGCTGCTTATAGATGCGCACCACTGATGTTTCAACTAAGCAGTGTGAAATAGGATACATTATGCACCAGTGCTCACTGCTGCTGTCAGCTGCCAACGAATCAGATATAACTCACAGCAACCTTATGAACAAAAGACCTGAATCCTGTCCTATCCTGTGCCGTCCTCATTATCCCTGACACACTTGAACCCACTGCTGCACACTGTGTCAGTCTGTCTCACTGAGGGTCTTCCTCTGTTACCCTCCACCTTTCCAAGCATGATTTCCCTCTCCAAGGAATAGCCTCTCCTGTAACATGTCCAAAGTATGTGAGATGAAGCTTTGCCATCCTTTCATCCAAGGAGCCCTCTGGGTTTACTTTCTTTAAGACATGTTTGTTCTTTTGCCAGATCATGGGATGGTCAGCACTCTTTTCCAACACCATAGCTCAAAGTTGTCAATTCTCCTGTCACCATTATTCACTGTTTGGCTCTCAGATAGCAAGTAATTGAAAAGCACACCTTAGTCTTCAAACTGCCATCATTGCTCCTTAGTAATTTGGAGAGGTTCTTGACGCAGACTTGCCTAATAAAATATGTCCCCTGATCTCCTGACTTCTGGTGCCAGGGGCATTGATTATGGATCCAAGTAAGATGAAATAATTAACAACTTCAATCTTTTCTCCATCTATCATGATGTTGCTAGCTAGGAGCTCATTAGTATTATACATATTGATAACTGATGTTCTATTGAATTTACGTAGCTGAAATGTCATTAAAAATTAAAGAAGTTTCTAATTACTTCCCTAGAGTAAAACTCAACATTTATAACACTGTTTCTGTGAGCAATTTTTCTCCAATGCAAGAAAACGAAACTTTTACACAAAATAAACTCATTTGTGAAGCTGAGGTCAAAACTTGTAACAAAACGAACTCATTTGTGAAGCCGAGGTCAGGAGTCCAGAAGTTGTTAGGCCCTATTTCCTATTCTCTCTAGATGATGGGAGCCCTGGCTGATACCAATGGTTAACACGCTCAATTGCTAACAGTTGGAGGTTCTAGTACACTCAGAGGCACCCCAGAAAATAATGCTTGGGGATTTGGAAAACCCAGCCACTGGAAAATCTGCAGAGTCTAATTCTCCTTTGACACACCTGGCATTGCTGTGAGTCAGAACTGACCAGATGGGACCTGTTTATGTGGAGAGGTGGTGGTTCAGTACACAGGTTCACCTCAAAACACTTGCCTTTCCATTCAAAGCTGCTCTGTTCTAGGGAGCTCTGGTGGCTTAGTCTACAGGGATCTGCATTGTTAGCTCAAAAGCCAACCCTCTCTTGTGGTTTGAATCCACCAGCAGCTCCAGGGAAGAAAGATGAGAAATCTAATGGGGGTCAACTAGGAGCTAGAAGACAATGAGAAAGATCAAGAGAGCTGTTGCTTGTAATACCCCTTAGAGCGTACACGCTGTATCCTTCAGCCCATGGGCCAGGGTGACACCTCTGTGCCCCTCACAGGCTGTGTGAGGCTCTGGGCCCTGGGATAGTGCTGGTCACAAGTGTAACGGAGGGTGCAGCCTTTCCTACAGTTTCCGTTAATCCTCCTTAATCATCAGGGAGCAAAATAAAGCAGTCGCTGGCCTTTTGCCATGTCCACTCCCACCATCCTCAGAACACTGCTCAAGTGTAATGAACTTGCATTTCACCCCTTTGGCCTAGCTATTTTCTGAAACACCAAAGTCGTTTAAAGAATGCTCAGTGAAAACAAACGTTGGCTCAGTTTACTGGTAAGAGAGCCAGGGAGGTGTGCTTTGATGTTGTCTAAACAGCAGGAAAAGCTGACTAGGGCTGCAGGGATCTTAATAGCGCTGCAACTATTTAAGCTGGAGCTTTACTGAACTGTTTGCAAATCTCGTAATCCCCACCGTTCCTGAAATGAACACATTTCTTGTAACAAAGGCACAAACATCTGATGGCAGAGCACGCCCAGCCAGGAATATTCATCAACAGCTTCTCTCCTTGAGGTTTCTTTTCAGTACCTCTCTGTCCTTTTCTTTCTCCCAATTCGTGCACAGACCGTATCACAATCTTAGATTAATTACTGCAGTTATCCAATTACCTCCTATTGAGCCCACTAGACAGAGAATGAAGACTGGGTCCTCGCCCTGGCTGAAGGCCCAGCACCTAATGCAGAGTTCAGCAAATATTCACTCAGTCGATAGATAATTCAGCTGGTGTCCCTGGTCCCCTCTCCCACCTATATTCCTAACTAGCTTTTACTCACCTCTTTCCTGCACCAAAACTGATCTGCCCAAAATATCCTTCCCACTCTGCTTTGCTGAGTAACAGTTTATAATCTGGTAAATTAAACTAATAGTTGATTAGACCGTTGTTTCCGGATGGGTTTGAAGAAGAGAGTTTCCTATTTTATTTTTTTTTAAAGTCAAAGACAAAGTTGATAGGGGAATTTCAGACTTTGCAATTTTAGAAGCATCTGGAGGTATCTTGAGGGAAGTTCTTCCTCCATGCCTGCATTCAGTGGTTTCAGGGGTAGAATGCCTGCCTCATGCAGGACACCTGTTTGATTCTGGTTGACACACCCCAAGCTCAGCCACAACTCAGCCAGTAGTCAATTCCTGTGTGTTGCTACAATCGCTGAGGGGGCTTCAGGGGAGCCTCCAGCCTGTGGAAGGCCAGAAAGAAAGGCCCTGGAGATCAACTGCTCCAATTAAAAAACACTGGTCCGTAAAACCCCCATGGATCATGATGGCCCAATACTGTTGTGCATGAGTCAGCAGGAGTCAGGAGGCTGAAGGCAGTTAGTTACAATATGGAGAGTTAGAGTCCATGGGCAGTGCAAATGGTTAACACACCCAGCTGCTAAACAAAAGGCAGCAGGTTCAAATCCACCAAGAGACGTCTCAGGAGAGAAGAGTATTGATTCGTTTTAAAAAAAACAAACCCAAACAGCAACTGAAAACTTCACAGAGCACAATTTCATTGACACATATGGAGTCCTTTAAGAGTCAGCTCAATGGCAAAGGACTATATGTTTATATATGTATATGTGTGTGTGTGTGTGTGTGTGTGTGTGTGTGTATTATATCGGGCAGTGCTCATGGGGTCTGCTAAAATGAAAGGGAGACATTATCTTGATTTAAAAATAGCATAGATCACGTCCTAAAGATGGTTTTGGTGAAGTCTGTTTTAGGACCACGTTCAAATGATTCTCATGGCTGGTCACCTGTGACCAATGGCAGGTGCACGGTGAGGAGGAGTGGTCATGAACTCTAAGAACTACGATGCTGCGTGTGGTCACCCTTTCTTTCCCTGAGCTGCCTCCAGTCCAAAGAAAAGGGTGACCCTCCTCATTTAAGAAAGCAGATTCAAAGAGAAAGCCGTATTACTAATTCTACTTAAGAATTGGACACAGTTCACAATTTTTTTTTCTTTGGTGTGTGTTGAATTTCTTTTGTTGCAAGAGAATTAAAATAAATATATGCATTCTACTTTCTTTTTTTTTTTTTTTTGCATTCTACTTTCTTAACTGAAAATGAATAATTACATTTTGAATCTGGATGTCTGAAATCCTGGGTTGGGAGTATCTTCCTTTTATCATTAAAAAGAATACAATTAGCTGAATAAGCTTAGCTGTTTTTTACTAATGGCTTTTTAAGTTGGCTAACACTGAGATTAGATGCTTTCGATTCATCTTTTTTTTTTTTTTTGGACATGGTATGTAGAAGGAATAGATGATATACCAATTGACATATTTCAGTTAACAGATGCTGCCCTGGACATGCTCATCAAGTTGTGCCAAGAAATCTGGAGAATGACCACTTGGCCAACTGACTGGAAGAGATTGATATTTGTTCCTATCCCAAAGAAAGGTGACCCAACAGAATGTAGAAACTACAGAACAATCTCACTGATTTCACATGCAAGCAAGA